AGTCTATACTTCTTGCAATAAAGCTTGGTGGATATTAAGAAACACTGTACCTTGTTGGTATCTGGAGACTGCAGGGAGGAACAGATCCCGTTAGGTACGTGCCAGTGGCCAGTGGGTGATATGGATCTATGGCTTTTCTGCCAAACGGTGCGTCCAAACACCCACACACAAGTCATTGGCCTATTCTCGTGGTTTATCTATTCCAAATTTTGGTAAATTTGCCTGGACTTTCAATGCAGCGGAGCAGACAACAGCATGCGAGCAGCAGCAGCTGAAGATCAGAGTGAGCCCCACATCTGCTGGCAATGCTCGGGGTACCAGCAAGAAGGGGGGGCGGCTCGGTTCAACACAGGCGAGCAGAAGGATACGGAGCTGATCTGTCAGAGGGTTATGTAATTCTGGGGCTCAGCGCTCAGCTGCAGCCGAGTTTCCAGCACAGTGAACTCGCAGCCAGATTCCAGAACCTGCGGCAAGACTGCCAGATGATCTTGTCACGGTTGGGACGATCTACTTAATGACCCCTGTGCGTACTTCCCTACATTTCTCCAACCCCCCCCCCCCTTCACCAATCCACATTACGCATTGCCTGTGTGCAGCTAGCTCGGCCGTGTGCTTTCTCTCCCCTCCCAGCCTACAGTGATCTTGTCTCATGTAATTACTTACACAGCAACTACGAATTCCGCCGTGCAGTATGTAGAAGCAATATAGAACATAAATATGAGCTTATTCAAAGAGCAATCATCAAGAAGCAGTAAGAAATAGCAACCAGAATTTCATTTTCTCAAAGTGCACCTGTCTTCACAAGTTAAGCTGAAGCCATATTAACAGTCATGCTGGAATGAATAAAGAAAAAGAAGGGCCGGAAGGTTTCCATTCCCTGAAGAAAATGCCGCTCCATTCCCTCTCCAGGATTTGACCCAGTCCTAGGCATCGGTCATGTGACCAGAGTTCAGATTAGCTAATTCTAGCCGTCTGGATATTTGCCCAGCACTGGAGGGGGCATGCAGCAGCATTTTCTCCAGGAGTGCTGAGAATTTTAGCCACCAGCGCTATTCCAATACTGGGTGGCATAAGCGGGCAACTACAACTGAGATTGAATCTTCCAATGCATGTGTTTTAAAGGGTAATTCCACTTTCCCAGGTGAATTTGGGGAAATGGAATTACCCCTCCAATCTGGATGCTCCTTCCCCTGCGCTGGTGCTGGTGTACTATCCGTAACCTCGTACTCTTCTGCGCTTCTTGCTACCAATGAGTGCTCGCCATTTGTGAGCGAAATTCAAAATCCACAGCTCAGGGCTGAGCTAGACAGTAGTACATGATACAAATAGTACACCCACACTGGAAGAGGGGAAGGAGCATCAGTGGCATCACAAGGTGGGTTCGGCCTGCGCCCGGGTGCAACCATTGCAGGGGTGACACCAAAATGACTGACAGTCATTTTGGTGTTACATCCTCTGAAAAGTCGGGCGCTCTGTCATTGGCTGGGAGCCCGACAGCATACCTCATCCCACCGGGTAAACGTCCCCTCCTCTCTCTGCCAGCGTCCATTACCAAGAAGGCTGCCGGCAGGCGTCAATAAGATGACGTGATGAAAGTCACGGCAGGGTGTAACCCGTTCTCCGCTCCGGGTGTCACCTGGCCTTGGGACGCCCCTAAGGAGCTTTCACCGAAAAGGTATGTATAGCAGCAAGGGAAGGGAAGAGAGGAGGCCATATTGGAGGGGGTAACTCAATTTTCCAAAATCCACCTGGGAAAGTGGAATTACCCTTTAAATGGCAATGATTGATTCCACCACATGCTCGGTGAAAGTCACATTTACTGCTTTATAAATAGACCCCCAAAGTGTCACTAGAGGTGTGGCAGCACGGAGCTAAAAGGGGGGGGGGGGCTGTGTAGAAACAGTGCATGGACAAGGTGACAGTGCATGTTAATGACACAATGGTGGAAATCGCTTTTAGCTACAGTACCCTTGTGTATTTGCAACCCCTGCACCTGTAAACCTGCGACAGATTTACAAAGATCTGCAACAAATTTATCACTGAAGACGAGACAGATGCACAATTGGGAATTGTGTAGAATTCTTCCATTGTGTGCTGGATTTGAACTGCCTAGATTAGTGACAATTTTAAGCGGGCCTTACACTGGCCAAAAAAATGTAAAAACTATCAGCTTCCTCCATCAAGGCTAAACAGTGCGGATGGACGAATCTTCCCCAGGCTACTGAATTCACCAGGCTATAGTATACAGTGAGCTACTGTATTCAGCAACCGGAGGGGTGCCGACTGCTCCACACACTGGTCCAATTTGACCAGCATTTGGGAGGTTAAAACATGGAGCTTGGTGATGGTGCTTTAGATGCAGCAAAGAGGGAGGAGGGGGTTAAGGGGTTAATGTACAGGTCACACACAGTGGATTACTGTGCATGATAAGGGAGGCAAAGTTGTTAATATAAAAGGGTTTAATAAACAATCCCACAATCAAACTAATTAAAGCTCCAACTTTCAGTCTGCTGCTACCTACCTCCCTTCCTATGACACCTTCCTTTAAAGGAGAACTATGAGGCGAGTGAAAATCTCTCATCCTCATAGTTCTAGCCGACCTGTGACAATGAAACTGTCACACGTCGCCTCAATAGATCGGGAGGTGAGAGAACACATACCGTCGCTCGCTCACTTCTCAATCATCTCCCTGCAGAGAGCCGTGACTGCCACTCCGATCCTACAGCACTGACTGGCGGAACGGACGGGGGAGGGCACAGCTGGCTCTGGCTCTAGATAGGCAGAGCCAGCTGTCACTCACGCAGGTGGGTGGATATCGACAGTAATGTCGGGATCCGTCCCGGCTGCAGCGCTCTGAGTATACTGAGCTTTGGGTCATGGGAGGACACTTGTATATGTCCTCCCGTGACCCTTAAAAGAACTATGGGGAAAAACACTGACCTCATTTAAAGTTCTCTTTTAAAGTATAATTTCACCTTTGAATCGGAAAATGAGCAACCTGCCCTCCCTTGTCTATATCAAAAGGGTGGACAAATCATTGTGGAATTCAGGAGCCAGCAGAAACATTTTTTGGAGCTAGCTCCTTTGACAACAACTAGAGAAGAACTCAAAAGTTGGGCGCCAGCTGTCATTTTTAAGGAGCCGTGGCTACCAGACTCCTGGGATTTGTCCACCCCAGTCCTGACCTAATCTAAGATAGAACCCCCAAACACCTCCCACCTACACAGGTGTTCACTTACCTCTTGCTGATGGCAAGGGCCTCCTCTGAGGTTTATAGCCCTTGGTGCCTAAATCTTTACCAGCACCAGCAGAGTGATTCCCCATAGTCTTCAATATGGCCGCACGCCCATAATACAGATCCTAGGAGTACGTTCCTATCCAAGTTTATGTGGCCTTACAGCAAAGGGGTGGACGCCACAGAAAAAGATTTTGGCACCAGAGCTGTAAACACCTGAGGGGGCCGCCATCTTTATGGAACACTGAACAGTGGGGGGAGGGGTGCTAGCTTAAAATAGGGGGCTTGGGAGGGTGGACTGTGTTTTTTTTTGTTTTTTTTTAGTGAAGTTGTACTTTATGGGGTGACAGATTTGATTTAGGGTAACCACAGACAATACATACTGTACAGGCTGCGTCCAGTAAACAAGGCTTAGGCAACCCTGGGCGCAACTTGTAAGCAAGAGCCTTCAGCTTAGCTGGCAGTGCATGCTGAGAATGGTGCCCCAATTACAAACAGCTTGCAATGAAGGGCCATTACAACCAGAACCGATATATTTTACTTATAGGTGGAAGCTGTTGTTGAATTACCGACTGGCTTCTTAACATCTCATGGGAGAAATAGTGGTGCTGCCATCGCTGGCCTCTCCGTGAAAACGCTAGCTGCCTGGCTGTTATGTTAACCCTTATATGGCTTCAATGCTTTATTATACAACTTGAAGGCCAATAACTCAAAGTGATCTATTTATAAACTGCGAATGGCCCTGCAAATATTTGTGGACGCTTACTCCGTGCAGATATATGCCAAAATGAATGTGTCTTTAGATTTCGAATGTTATTTAGAATTTTCAAACACTATCATGTAATGACAAATGATGGCCACTAGATGGAGCTAACGGATCATAGGATACTTATTCTCTATGCTCCTCAGTGCCATCTACTGGCCATAACATGTTATTGCAGAAACATTCGAAAATGCAACTAAAGAATGTTAGCTTTGGCATATGTCTGCGCAGAGTGAGCGTTCACAGATAATCACAGGGCAAAAGGCGAACAGTTTACATATAGTCCCCAAAGTATTGACACGGGCAGGCAATAAGCATCTTCAGAAGGAGCATTCAGCAATAGCAGCCTACCGATTTTTTCCTTTAAATCTGTTAACGGGGGGGTCCAGAATTTTGAACTCATTAAAATCCAGCAGGAAGAGCAAGACTGGAATGGGTCAGAGAAGTGGGTGGAGCTGGGAACACAGGGTGCCGGTGACCTTACCACCTCATCATGAGAGGCCAGTAACTGATTGAACCTTCCCATTTCAATCTATGCATGCATTTTTTGTAGTGCTTTGTCATGCGTCAACGTGCGTTTTCCTTGACATGCATTATTGACACGTTTCCAATTCATTTTTGTAATTCAGGATTTGGAGTGGATAGAGTTAACATCCATTGGCCAAGGCTTGTTGACAACACATTGGAATGAATGTTATTTGCATTTTGACGCCTTGCTATTGACTTCCCAATGCAAAATAAATTGGACGCCATATTTTTAAATAATTTTGGAAGAAGCACTTTTTTTTATAACGGGCAACTCGGTCACATGCGCTGTAGCTCGTTGCAATGTGTGTGTTAAAGCCCAACAGTATAAACAGGCCCGTACTAAACTGTAAGCCAAGGGAAGGGAGGAAGGACCCTTTAAGCCGGCGCGGAAAGAGCAGCAGACAGCGTGTGACAGATTGCGTTGTACCGTCTGTTGTGCTCTGCCGTCCATTGTTATTCTGTGTGAGTCTGTACCTGACGCTCGCAACGCTCCCCGTCTTCACTGCTCCGTCATCCGTGAAATTAAAGATCCTAGTCCAATTTCCCAACTCCTCTCCGCTCTGCCAGCTAAACTGCAGGCCTCTAGTAAGAAAAGCAGGCAATTTACAATGCGCTCCTCCAGCCTCACATCGCAGTATTTTTACATTGGAAACATACAGAAGAATATTTCGACATTCATGGTGAGCGGGTAGATGGGAAACGTCTCCACCGTTCCTGCAAAGGCCGAGCTCGTAAGGCCCGGGCAGCAAAATAACCATCAGAGCAGCAAAGCCATGCATGCCAATGCACATGTATGTGTTGCGGAGATTCAGGTGCATTGTTTACCGCATTGACATGCATCGGGGTCCCATTAGAGATGAAAGAGATGCCTGGCAAGCACTGATACACACAATGGGGACACATGGGAATGCATATGGCTGATTCAACCTTCATGTACATGGCGAGCAAAGATCAATCCACAGCCTCCAGAAATTACACTGTAGACATTAAAATTGGGTATGCGCCGATACTGTTTCTTGGGTATCGAGTACCGATATTTTGCTTTCGGTACTCGCCAATATGGAGCCGGCTTCCTGGGTAATCAGGAAGCCGGTCGGCGGGTAATGACATGCCGACCAGCTTCCTGAGTGCCCTGGAAGCTGGCTCCATGTTGTTTGGCCAGCTTGATTGTGATTGGCTGGGAAACCGGCTTCCCAGCCTATCAGGATAGAGCCGGCTTCCCGGCCAATCTGGAAGCTAGGCAGCGAGTAATGACCCACCTCCCAGCTCCATGCTGATTGGCTGGAAAGCTGGGTTCTCGGCCAATCAGGATGGAGCCAGCTTCTCGGCCAATCAGGATGGAGCCAGCTTCTCGGCCAATCAGGAAGCCGGGAGGCGGGTCATTACTCGCCGCCCAGCTTTCTGATCTCACGGGAAGCTGGCTCCATGTTCCCCTATGACACTGCCAGTCAGAGGAAATCTTCTCAGTGGACTATTCATGAGCAACACCCGAAATGTGAGGTCCCGCCAATGCTTTTCCCCCCTAAAAGGCTTCCCAAACACCTGCCCCCCAGCCTGAAACATGTTATGATGTATTATTGATTACAGAGCTGCATTACTTTGTCTCATTTTTATCTGCCTGTTCAGCTTTAAACAGCAGAAGATTTTATAGGGAATTAGCTGACAACTATTTATGTATTTAAAGCCTCTATTTCTTATAAATTGTATCACACGAGTCACTGTCGTCTCCTCTAATGGCTCCATTTCCTGCTCTCTTCAATGGACCCCTCATAAGAACTCACTGCCATCACCGACCTTGGAGCACAAACCAGAACATAGAACTCATGAAGTCATCTCAACAGATCCCGATGATGAAAGTTTAGCAAAGTAAGTAGTGGTGGGATCATGAAGGATAGATGGACTCTGCCCCCGTCCAACCTGACTTCATTCAAATCCTATAGATCAGTGGTTCTCAACCTTTCTAGGGCCGGGACCCCTTGGTAACATTTGCCAAGTTTTGGTGACCCCCAACGGTAAAATTTAGGGATGACGCGGCTGCTGCAGCGACATCTGGCGGCGTGGCGGGAGAACTGACACTGCTGCGCTAGGAGCGGCCTGAGGAGGACTCTCACCTAGCAAAGCAGAAATCACACAGCGACCCCACAGGTTGAGAACCACTGGCGTACGCCGTCAGAATAGAAAACAAAAAACCCGCCATAGGAATGCATAGCTAGGTTCCTTTTAAAATAGCCAATCGATCGAGCAGAGTAAACCTTTCCGGGAGGAAGTGTTTCTCTCCCGGGCGGCCGGGAGCCGCTATCTAATAGCGAGAGACTCCCGGGCGACCCCTGGCAAATCGTCATTCGACCCCCGACGGGGTCGCGACCCCCAGGTTGAGAACCGCTGCTATAGATACATTAAATCCACCACCTACACCGGTCACTGAGACACATGATGAACCGTGCAAACTTCCAGAATGTCACAAATATAAAAGGAGGGAGAGATACAAAGTTAAATACAGGACAGGGGGATACATATAAGATATGGAAAGCTAGAAGAGAGAGAGAAAAAAAAAAGATAAATATAATATGGGGAGAGAGGGCGAGGGGGTAATAGATAGATAGAATAGATAGAATAGATAGATAGATAGATAGAATAGATAGATAGATAGAGTTTGCCCCCTTTATGTATTTTCTATTGAAGTGTGGTCGGTGGGGGGTTGGGGTCTGTAGACGGGGAGACATAAGCCCCCCTTGGGGTGAATCGTAGATATTTGTGAATCTTGTGTGTGAAGCGGAGAGGGAGAGACAAGTGAGTGACAAGTTCTATGATTTCTTAAATTGTTTCCAGATATTGGGCCGGGTGCCTGGAAGAACTCCGCAGAGAGAGGAGCTAATTATACGCTCAGATCTTTCTATAATTCCCATGTAGTCAGCGGAAGGCAACCTGGTAATTTACTGGGAAACAAGCTCGCAATGTTTTAACACCGACATTCCGACAGCTCGGAGAGAACGGAATCCTATCCGTGTCATCCAGCTCACATGATCAGACTTTTTTTTTTCTTTCGGATGTATTGCTGATTATGTTTTTCTTAAAGGAGAACTCCGCTAGGAACATTCTGCATCGAAATGATATGAGATCGCCCAACTCACAGGAAGTAATTAAAGTTGTTTCCTGCGACAGGATCGTAAGGAAGGTAAAAACAAAAAAAAACAAATGAGTGCTGCGATGATCTAGGGAAAGGGGGGGAGGGTAAATTTGAGTCACCCTTATACCCCAAAACAATAGATTGTATCTTTCTGGGATCTATAGGTGAGGGCGTCAGGATAAAGGCTACAAGAGCACAACTGGCACTAGAAACAGGATTTTTGTACTCACCCTAAAACCATTTCTCTAGGAGGTCATTGGAGGACACTGTGATGAATACTCTTCTGAAGTTTCCACAGGTAGAAGAATATTTAGCTATGTGTCCTTCACGCTAACTTGCTTAAAAAAAGGAGCCCTGCAGCATGCTCCACCCCAGCCATGTGTCTCAGGCTCTGTTGCCCCACCTGTGGACCCAGGATGGTCATTGCCGGTGTATATCTGTTCGATGATCTCCTCTCCATCCAAGGAACCCGGAACAGATGAGAGTTTCGTCACTTCGGTTTCAGAGCCGTCATTCCCCAGGCCGCTGTGGCCAGGGATAAGGCTAATCAAGTACAGCCTGTGCTTGATTAGAATCAATGGGCTGCACAGGTGGCATCAGGGGTCTAATAGACCTATAATGTCTCCTTAAAGAGAACCTGTCATCACTAATCAGGGGCCTCCTTATGTGATAGCAATAAAGTTAAAGTGACAAGTCTCAAATCTCCCCCCCCCTCAATGCTGCTGTAAGGACTTACCTTAACCTCTTGCCATCCGCCCGTTAAGAAAAAACGGACGGACGGCTGACTCCTATCTGCGGGTTGCCGTCGCCAGACGGCATTTTTTTCCTGCTCGCTATGACGGAATAAATGTCAGTTAAAGTACCGCAGCGCTGAATACTGAAAAATGGCCTGGATGGGAAGGGGGTTTAACACCGCGGATGTCAACTGGTTAAATGATGCCTCTTAATCCAATCATCTTCTTCCTTAAATTTGTATTCAGCAATCCCTCCAGCAATGGTGTAGGTCTCTTATCCAGCGCAGACTGCTGCGTCTTCTGTGTCCCACGGTGTCTGTCCGACGTGCACGCTCCCGGCTGCCTGCATTGACTTACACTGTGTCTCTCCTCTTCTCACTGCCCAAGATCTCGCATGCTGGAGTGAGAGCAACAATTCTAAAGCCACTTAACTCTAAACTGATGACCTGTACAGGATTTAAAGCGTCACCTATGAACAATTTTGGGCGCCATAGTTTTTCCCCATATCACTGGCTCATGCAATTTTGAGACTTGACATTTTTGGTATCGATTTATTTGAAACCTCATCTTTTATATTTTACCCCAAAAATAGGGTATTATATGGTGCTTCTGTGCACTAAAATTAATCTGAGTGCATTTTTTGCTGGAAATTTGGGTGTGATAAACTGTTGCGCTATTATCGTGTGACATAAAAAAATTGCAGCTGCCGCCTATTTGTTTTCTAGGGTCTCTGCCTTCAGAAAACATAGAATTTGGGCGGCTTTAAGCAATTTTCAGGCCTAAAATGTGCATTTTAACACAGAAATGGCTCTGGCGGCAGAAGGGTTAAACGTGGTGGAGTTAATTGTGGCAGTGATGAATATGCTAAAGATCTTTTCTTTTTTTTTTTCTTTCTTTCCCCTCAATAGACATTCGAAAAACTATAAATAAAATGAAATAACAAAAGCACACACAAGACTTTTCTCTCCCATGAAGTGTGTGTGGGAGCAGGTGAGAGAATTTCGTGTCACAGATGTAGCACATGACCAAAGGCTCGCTCCTTAAGGAAATGACATCTTTCTTTTTTTTCCGGAAAGTGAGAGCACCAATCTAAGTAACTCTAAACCCTACAGATGACAGCGTTTTTATTTGGAGCTGAATTCAGCCCACTGAAAGAACTTATTAATCAAGTGAAAAAGGAAGAAAAAAGGCGCCTGAGAAATGACTTGTTTCATCTGGCAAATGAGTCTAAAGCGGTTTTGGAAGGAACGGAGAAATTTGCTTCCCGGATTCCTGCTGAACGTAGAATTTTCTGCTCCCCGGGGGTAACTGATGACACATTAAATGTATTACCTGGCTCAGTCCAGGTGCCTATAGCTCCCATTCCAGGAATGTGTGAGGTCTCTATCACAGTCAAGTGAGGATAAACTAAGGTGACCTATCATGGACAGGGGTACAACTCTACCAAGAGAAGGATAGTCCAGATGGTTGCAGGTGCTTACCTGAAGGTGGAGAGGCAGCAGAAGGTACTGACGGTGGAACATAGCAGGCCAGACAACTGCACAGCGTACCATTGGCTGTGTGGAGATCCAGAGGTGCAGTGAGAGTCATGAGGGCGCACAGGGGTGCACTTGGAGACAGAGGGGTGCTCACGAGTATACTTGGAGCCACGGGAGTGCACAGGGATCACTAGAAACACAAAGATCACTGGAGGCACAATGGTACTGGAGAACACTGGACAC